CTCAAGACCCCAAGCCCATGGCAATGTCCTCTACAAGTGCAGCTGGAGGCCTAGAGCCCATGGCAATCTCCTGCAAATGTGTATCAAGAATCTGCACTGAGAAGGCCCGAAGGTCAGTGGTGGAAGCTAGAAAGTCTGCACCAGCGGGATGGAGGATCTGTGCCAGCAGGCTGAGGGATCTGCACTAGAGCCAAGAAGCCACATACACTTAAGGTAAGGACCCGAACTCCTCCCACAGTAACACAGACATCCTCAGGGACAGTAAGGACCCAACTCCTCCAACAATGAAAGCAGTTCAGGTAGGATCAGGAAAACCAGCAGGATAAGCTTCTCCAGGAGAATCACCAGCGGACCATCTCGGCTTCCAGTTTTCCCGTCATGCTTCTAGCAACAATCACCAGGGGCCCTCCCCGCGGAACTGCACCCATGCAGCTTATTGGGGTGTCCCAAGCTGACTGCTGGTTAACCATATGATCAATGATCAGGCAATTCTTGTCCATCCCTGACCAAGTGTTAGCAGTATTTAAGTTTCAAGAACAGAGGCTTAAGCCCAGAACTTTAAATGACACTCAAGGAATACAAACATTTTGGCAGTTTGAATTAAAATATACAACAAAAATTTATGCTTGTTTATTAAATGGTGACACAACAGGGCTACACACAGTGTTTACTGAGCATGTGCTATGTGTGTGCACCACTCCAAGAAGTTCCGCTTTCTGGGGTTTGGGAATGTTCTACCTCAGTCTACCCACAGTGCCGTTGTTCATCCTGATTTTTATTTTACTGAAGTGTGGTCACCACTAAGTGGTCAGGAATGCACACAGAAAATCAAGGAATATCAGCTCACATTCATTGTGTGCTTCCTCTGTGTGAGCTGCTTTACATGTGTATTCTTAATGCCTCAAAATAATCTTGCCGATTAAACACTTTCCCCCAATATGTAGCTGCAAAACATGTAATTAAGCGAGGCTCAACAAGGGGCTGTGGTGCTCAAATGCAATGAGACAACCAGCTTAGTGCTTCTTCCTGTCCACAGCACAGTCTCCGTCAGACTCCAGAAGTCACAGAGAAAAGCAATCAGGATCCCAAAGATATCTACACATGACTAAAGAACTTAAGACATGGTAAAGATCCAATGTATTTATTTTGAAACAAATATGTTGGAAGAAATCCTCCTCTCCCCCCACCTCCTCCTCCTCTTCTCCATCTCCTCCTCCTCCTCTCCCTCCTCATTTCAAAGATGCTGAGCCCCAGGCCACCATCCCAACTGCTATGCCCAAACCCTTGCACATACTACATGGGTCTGAAAATCTCTCATGACTGTTACTGAAGTTGTTCCTTATTTTTCCTTGTGCCTAAATCCCTGGTGTCTGAGAACCACCCTCTTCTACCCGCAGCCTTCAACTCATGAAAATGCTTAATGAAATAACCTTTAATTTCATAGATGCAAGGCAGGGTTCATCTGCCAGACATCTGCTCGCGCCATCCGATGAGGTTAATAATGACGTTTCACTCTGTGCTACCCCATGAGGGCTCTTGGGACCAAGGACAAGCAAGAGGAAAAGGTCTCCAAGGCATCCAAGTGGCCTCTCACAGAATGCTCTTTATTGCTAAATCAATTTTCTATATTTAAATTACTACTATTAGGGAAAATATCATAAATAAGTTATTTATAAATAACACTGAAGGTTTTTTCCACATTAGTGACTTCTTACAATTTGAAGGGAATGTCTAATTTTATTTAATACTTCATTAGTTGAAGGTTTATAACAACTTCTAATAAACTCCAGATTCCTTATACACAAACAAATTAGCACGCGCCTATTCGCCTTTTTCCTTATTAATCGTCAGTCCCTAGGAGGATGGTTCTAAATCACTTTCCCAAGGTTTTCATCAATTTTACTTATGAAGAAAATGACTAAATGTCTCAGATATCAGTTTAAACAAGCGATGAAGTTCTAACTTAATTTCAGTGGAAAACTACTTTCCGCTGTATAAATGAGTCTTGTCTCACTTCAGTGTCCCTCAGCCAAGAAAACACATAGGTAAATTAAGCCCAGAACTAGAAAATGGGGATTACTTGAAATGCACATTCAAGAGCTCTCTACTAATGCCTTAGAAGTCACTCATTCCATCATGGTAAGGTTATGTTTGTGGCTGTCCATATGTCAGCCAGGAGAAAGAGCCAAGCTGACTACAACACAGCCACATGTGACCAAGCCTGGAACATCACCATGTCCCAAGGGGTCATTGCCAGACCAGCGGCAACCAACGAGTGAGGCTTTCATTCTTTGGTCCCACAGCCACCAAAACAAAACTGTCTTACTGAAGAATCCCTGAGGTACCAACAGACCTGGCTGCTAATGGCTCTACTTGTTCAACTCAACAAAAATGTCCAAGTCATGCATTCAGTAGAAGCTATATTCTGTAGGTAGCACTAGGGATTGAACCTAGGGCTTTAGAACTGAGCTACATACTCAGCTCTTTAAAAACCAATGTTGCTTCACATTTTGAGATGGGGTCTCAATAAGTCGCTAGGTCGCCCAGGCTGGGCTTGAACTTATGATCTTCTTGGCTCAGCCTCCCAGAGTGCTGGGAAGACAGCTATGCGCTGCATGTTTGGCTCAGCAGGAACTATTTTGAATTTCTTTTACCAGCCCAGGGTATGTGGGGCAATTCTAGGATGGTGGGCCATGGTTCCCAGCCAGCCTTGAGCTCATGGGGGAAACAAGTAGAACTCTCCAGGGCTGAGTCAGTGAACCGTGAGACCTGGATCATGGCGTGGGCTTGATGCCCTTTAGACATACTTCCAACTTACAGTGGGTTCGTGGGGACGTGATGCCACCCTAAACTGGGGGGCATCTGCGTTTCTCTTCCCAACATTTGTGGCCCTTTGCTGCTGTGTCTGCTCAGATACTGATGGGGACGTGGGGTGGAGGTCAGGGCCAATGCACAGCCGTGTGTCACGCAAACAGAGTTATGGATGGAGGCCACTCGGGCTTAGGTTTCCAAATGCTTCTCCACTCAGGCAAAGCTTGACAGAGGATTGGAATCAACACACAGCCCAGGTGACATGGGCCACCTTAGAAGGAGCGCTTAGAAGGGACGATTAGGAAGGGCTCTTAGGAGTGACTACACAGTGCGTCTAAGGCCACCCCAGAAGCAAAACAATAACAACACAGCCCAGATTCATCCAAGGTTGTAACAGAATCTTGTCTGCTGCAATGCACCTATGACAGGGGTCTCCTCCTCTCTAATGGCATTGTCAATGGGCCACATCCAGACACAA